CAAATGTGAGTAGGTACCACCACGATGGAAAGGTAAAACGGTGTTCCCTAGTCACGCTGGCCACGTGGCAAAGGAAACTGTCTTCGGACAAGTGTTGGCTCTACGGCTTGAAAAATGGGAATGAGCACCGCCCCCTAGAGTCGAACACACTAAAAATGTCAAGTGGAACCTTTACCTTTACCTATACTTTTGCTCAGCTTGAAAAAAATCCTGTCACAGTTCCTCTTAGATGTCTTAAAATGCCCTTTAAATGTAACTTTTGAAAACAACTTTTGTTCATTACAGCTAAGTAACCAAAAAGTAATTTTACAGCTAGCTATATTGAAAGAATCAGACTAAGACTCAGAAGACCTGAATGTGAATCCCTGCTCAGCCATAGAAATTTATTTGGAATGGCAATTATAAACTACTCCTTGAAGATCTCACCTGTTATAACAATCAGAAATTGAAAGATACTTTATGGTATACAGCAACAGCAAATAGCAGCAGCAGAGGTGCCATGGAAACTCAGTCCCTCCCCCCCAACCGGCCAGTCCATTAACCGGTCACCGTGTGGTGCATGTGGCCATTGTTGTTCATGCCATACAAATCCAGGAAGCAGCCTGGCTGGCTCTTCCCCACCTCCTCGCATAGTTGACCACTCTGGCAAGGATGTGGGATGACGAGTCTCCCTGCTCAGCTGTTGAGTGGTCTGCTGTGTGGGGAGGCGGGGAAGCACTGGCCGGGCTGCTTCCTGGATTGGTGTGGTGCAAATGACAAAGGCCACGTGGATACTAGGAGCCAGTGACCAATTAGTGGACCTGCTGGTTCAGGGGGAGGGACTGGGGCTCTGTGGCATCTATGGTGCTGATATTCGTATTTTTATTCCCAGGGATATGAACACAAATATTCCATGTCTACTAATTCTATTAGTAGTTGTCACTCCAAAAGTAACTGGTCACAAGTAACTCTGATTCTTATAACTAGTTACTTCCAGGCTCTCGTCTTGCTAGTGGGCTTCACAGAGGCATCTGATGGGCTGCTATGTGAACAGAGCACTGGTCCAGATATATGTTTGGTCTGATTTAGCATGGCTGCTCTAATAATTTTACGAGTTACTAAGATAATAAAATGGGGGGGGGGGAAGGAAGGTTATTTGTTTCATTGTTTGTTATTATAAGTGTTTACAGCACTTTGAAAACACTTATAAATGCAACAAATACCCAATAAAAATACATAAAATAGATAACATTCTGTCCCTACCTTTCCATAAAATTAAACACATGAAAACAAATCTGCATATTTCATGTTGTTAATAAAAGGCAGCTTTGAAGAATACCATTTTTACTAATTTATTAAAAAAAAAGAGAGAGGGAAGGCACCTGACCGCCCCTCTGTTGGAAGATTATTCAAAAGAGAAGGGGTCACAACTGAAAAAATACAGTTCTTTGTGTTAATTCTTTTTGCCTCCTTCAGTGTCACCAATTTTAACATTAAATACTGCGAGGTGTGTTTTGAACAAGTAACTGTTTTGCAGGTATATGTCTTCTATGGAAGAAAGTGGAAGTAAAAATTCTATAAATGAGAATTTGCAAATGAAGAATATCCAGCTACCAGAGCTTTCTGTGGAAAGGATAGCCTCGTGTTCACCCCAAAGAGCGAGATGTGTAGGTTGCTCAGCCACACGAAACTCTGTTCATCGTGCAACTCAGTAGGGGTTGGCATGAATGGAAACACTCTCGCATTTCTGAACAAAGATGTTTGGAAGTCTTGAAACAACCACATCCAGCGTTCAAATTAGATCCATCTGAGTGTTCAGGGCCTCCTTGTGAGATCCCAGCTCCCCACTGTTCATCCTCAGTATATCAGAAGATACAGGGCACAACCAGATGGGGGAAGTTGGAGTGATCTGGTTTGCACTTAAAAGATGTTTGTCAATGGTGCAATAAATTTTATCTCAGACTTGAGCAATTCTTCTGTTCACCACAGGAGATATTTCTTCTGCCATGAGAAGGATCAAGATAGCTCTTTGGGTTGCTTCAGTTTGTCCCTCTTTCAATTATTAATGCCTCTAACTTCATCTCTTCCCTTGCTGTTATTCCACAGGCCATGGCAGCTCCCCCCCCTTTTAAATGAAATTAAGTGACATAGCGCTACAGCAGTACATCAACATGGCAAAGTATGCAAAGCTAGAGGAAATAAAAATAGAGTCAAGGGATTCTCCATCATCCCTTTTAATGTCACAATCCACTGAATACATCACAGGTGTGTCACCTCAGATAATGCAGCTCTATTTGGGTGTGAATTAATCAACCACATGGACTACAGAATAGGGTAATCAGGTGTGTTCCCAATTATACCAAAAAACCCTACCACTGTGCCAGAAAGGAGTGGGACCATTTGTAAAATGGGCGGGATGGGTTGCTTTTATTGAAAGCACATAAGGTTGTGGAAAAATAGGGCAACCCAAACTACTCCAAAAGCAAACCAAATAGTGAGCTATCCTATATGTCCATCTGATCGCCCTCACAGTTGTACCTGAAGCCCAATTCTATCCTTCTACATTCTACAAAAGATTAGAGACACATCCATTAAGCCAGGAACTTTTTTCAAAGTTTAGAAAAGTTACTTTGCAGATGACTGCTCCCAGAATCTCCATTGGCCATGCTGCTGGGAGGATTGTGGGAGTTACCATCTAAAAGGAAACCTTTTCAAGCTTTGAATTTTGGAGATGTTCTGGAGTGCATACATTTCCATTTTCAAATAAAGAGAGATTTCATTTCCTCTGTCTTCTACCCCTGGCATTTACCAATGAAAGCTTCCTGGGTAAATGTTCAAACTGGCATTCATTATTAAAGCCACAATTAAAGCCATAAAATCTCTGAGGAGCAACCAAAGAGCCTGTTCAAGCCGAGTCATGCTGCCATATGCGACAATCAGGATCACTTATTCACCAGAAGTTCTTTGCTGGGATGCAGAAGTCTTTCCGTTCTGAACTTCCTGCGCTTAGAGAAGGAGGCAATTTAGCCATTTTTGCTGCATGGCTGGCCTTTGAGGAGGGAGTGTCTTTTAGGAGTGAAAGAGATGAGGCTGGGCAGACAAGATCTAGTTAGTTCTGAGCCTGCGCATACAAGAGGAGTAATTTTGTCGAGTCAGACAATTAGATCCTTGTTTCTGTTATTGATATTATGGAAGACTCAGAAAGGAGTTGTTCTAAGAGCAGGAAACTAAAACATCTTCCAAGATTTTGAGAGTAAAATGAAGAAATTTGGAGATCAGACAGCTCTTGTCAAAAATGCAATAGCTTTAGGCAACATAATTCCAGAATGCAACCCCTTTTCCTGCTCTCGTTTTGAATGTGCATTATTCAGATTTCAAATTAATGGGCTGTGTTTCAAAGTAGTTTGAAACATGATTTTCCTCCATGTCGCATGGCTGTGTTTCACCTTTGTGGGTGTATAACACATTACATGTTATAATGGCATTATGGGGGGTGGGGGAGGCAAGAAGATGGTAGCACTGGCGGTGAAATGGGCATTTAATGAAATGTTCTGTCCCTATGCATGGGATGTGCAAGATACACAGCCGAAACTGAACAGCCAGTGGGAAAAAGCGCCTGGTAATGGATTCAGAACTAGTTATTCTATTTTTTTCTGAATCCTCTCTCTCTCTGTGTAAAACTTGTCACAGAAACAATGTGAGGGAATAGTTAGATGGCTGGATTGGGACATAGGAGATGCAGGTTTTAGTCCTCAGTGAGCCGGGGAAACTCACTGGATGACCTTGAATCACTTTCTCTCTTCTCACACACACAAACTCAAGTTGACCTACCTCACAGGGTAATCATGTGAATAAAGTGGGAAGAGGAGAACCACAAACAGCTCACTGGAGGAAAAGTGGAATGCAAACATAGCCAGATAGATAGTTATCCAGATAGATAAATAGTAATAATAATAATAATGTGGATCAAGTCAATTTTGACTTATGGTGACTCTTTTCTGGATTTTCTAGGTAGAGAATAATCAGAAGTGATTTGCCATTCTCTTCTTCTGGGGGCATCCTGGGACTGTGCAGCTTGCCCAGGGCCACACTTTTAGGCTGGCTATCCTCCTAAAAGGCTCAGTGGAGAACTGAACTCTCAACCTCCAGTGGAAACCTATCTGTCCATTAGAGAGTTGAAAATTGGGGGAGAGGGTATGGAGCATGTGCTGGAGAACATCCTGGTGAACTGTACCTTCTGGATCCAATCTGTCTTCTGTTTTGTGAGCTTTTATGCTGCTACCCTGAATTTGCTGTCTGAAGCTTTATCTCTTGGTCTGTCTGAGCCTCTTCTGATATGATTTGTGATTCAGGAAAACAAGTCCTCTGGGAAGTTCCTGTTAGTACAAGACAGCTCTCTGGAGGACCTCAGAGGCTACCATTTCCCACACTGCTCTTGATTGCCCCAAGACTAGTGTAGTGCCCACCTTGTCCCTCCTCCATTCCTCCATTCTCTTTTCTCACCCGGTCCATCTGTTCTGCCCTGCCTCCTTCAGCCGGAGGGATCTCAATGGGCTCTGAGAATGACCAAGGCTCAAGATTGCCTACTTATATGGCGAGTCTCATTCTCAGAGGTTCTGGGGTGTGTCCAACCAGAGTCAATTCCCATCTTCTAGGAGGAATGCCTTTTTGAGAAGTCGGTTCAAAAAAGAACGAGAAATGAAACAACTATCAATTATGGTCCCTTTTTGTGTGTTTCTTAAGCTTTTGTTGGGCATGAAAAGGGGAGGAGCTCTCGTGTCTAGTTTGCTTATTTATCTCTCTCTCTCTCTCTCTGTGTGTGTGTGTCTTTTGTTGGGCATGAAAAGGGGAGGAGCTCTCGTGTCTAGTTTGCTTATTTATCTCTCTCTCTCTCTCTTTCTCTCTCTGTGTGTGTGTGTGTGTGTGTGTGTGAAGCCACCCAGCCAGTGGGAGGAGAACATAGATCGTTTTAATAAAAAAAAAGGGGGCCGGGCTTACCAGTTACAGAAAGCAGGTGTTGCCCGGGCGTTCTCCGTTACTATCGCCGCTGGGGCTGCCAGCGCGCCTCTGCCGCCGCCGCCGCCTCCTTCTCTGCTCTTCACCTCGCTCGTGCTCAGCCTGCGTGAGACGCTCAGGACAGAGCAGGATTGGGACAGGGCATGTTTCATGAACCTCTCGCCTCGCCCACCAGCGTCTTCTTTCTCCCGGCTTTGATCCACCTTTGACGATCATGGAGAAGAAGGTGGCGTTCTCACTAGGCTTGTTATTGCTGCTTTCCGGGGTGAGTGGATCCGGGTGCGGAAGGGCTGAAGGCGCGATGGCTGGGGGAAGCGGGAGGAAGAGAGGCTCTCCTCTGCCTCCCATTTTTGGAAAGGGCAGAAATAGGTGATGGGGCAGGAAAAGAGTTACCGGCAGCTTCTTTTGGGGGAGGGCGGCGGCGGCGGCAGAGAACCGTGGCGAGGGATGCATTTCTGGCGTTCGGGGGTCGTTTGGATCCGCGGTGCGAAGCTACTTGGGGAGGAAAAGAACGCGCGTTTGGGGGGGGCAAGGGTGGGCAGCGGTTTGCCTTTCCTCCGGCATGCCTAAAATGGGATGGAGTTGACCTCCTGCTGCTGCCGCCGGGTCTCCTTCTGGGCAGCCGGCAGCGAGGCTGCGCTCTTCCCGCGAGGCGGGCGCTTGGAGGGACCCGCGCGCGTTCGCGGATGAACCGCCGCGGGGAGGAAGACGGAGCAAAGGCGCGGATCGGACGTCGCCTGAGGCGACAGGCGAGATGGGCTTGTGCCGGGTGAGGGGCGAGAAAGAACTTTCGACCCGCCCAGAGGGATAATGGTGATGATGAGAACAAGTATCATAATACCCTAAATCCAGTGGCTAGTTCCAGACAGGTTATATATCCCCGGGTCTCAATTATTCCGCGGGGAGTGAACCCTTAGGTCGATCTCACGGATGCAGTGGGTCTGCTCTACCTGGGACCACTCCTTGGAGTCAGGCCGGTAATTATTGCCGTTCCTGAAAAACTCGTGAGCGCAGAAAGAGAGGAGGGTAGGTCTCGGAGCGTAAAAGATGGCATGGCACGCTTGGGTCCCACCCAAGGAAACGCGCCTCTCTTCTTCAGCTTGGAATCACTCAGAGCGCCGAGATTCGCTTTGCCCGGCGGAGGAGATGCTTTATTATCATTATTATTTTTTTGGAGAACGGAGGCAGGGGGTTGCGGGGGTGGGGCAGGAGGCAGGCAACCATCCTGCTTTCTTGCACTCGTAAAGCGGGGGTGCCAGGAGTTTGGAGCTCCTTACGTGCGATCGTCATGCCTACCCCATGAGGTTCATGAGATTTACTTTTGAGTAGATCAATGTACGAAGAACCTCGCAAACCGCTGACATGGTTCCGGGAGCTGAGCGCCCGGAGGGAGGCAGGGGAGCGGCGCGAGAGAGAGAGACAGAGAGAGAGGAGGCGGACGCAATAATGTCTTGGGGAACAGAGTTTGATCCACCCTCTCACCTTTTACAGTATTATGAATTTCTAGTGGACTGTATAGGTAGCTTTTTAGAGTGGGGATGAGAAAGGGGAAGGGATTTTGTGTGCAGGCAATTGCTTCAGCAGTTATTTGCTACTATAACTTTTCATCATCCTCGCCAGTGTGGTGGTGGTGGTGGTAGAGGCATGGGGTCCGACGGGCATCCAGAAACAGGACGCGCGCCGATATTCAGTCTCTAAGCGGCAAAGAGGACATAAGATCCACAGTCATGAATCCTTTTTCCTTTTAAGGAGCTGCAAATACATTTTCGCTTCACAACAGTCCTGTCAAGTAGCTTAGGCTGAGGCAGGGGTGCCCATGGGGGTGGGTGGGGCAGAAGTCACAACCCAGGCGGGGCGGAGCCAGGGGCAAAACTGGATCGTGGTGTACACATACTGTATAAAGAAAAGCATGCACACCTCCAGGCACACACACCACAGGAGGGATGTACACATTGAGCTCTGATTAGGAAGCAGGCAAAAGTAGACTAGATGTGTGGGTAAGGGCGGTGTGTGTGTGAGATGGAGAGTACACATCTGAGATTGAAACGGCAATATCCCCTTTTGCCTTATTGGGCCAACCTTCCCTAGATCGAGAGTTACAAATTTGCACAGTTTCATGTGATTTTAAAAAAAGGATATTAAAAACAGTAGTACTGTAGTAGGTTAGCTATCCTACTACTAACAGCTGTGTTGAGGGCCAAGGATTTTTACCCTGCCTGGAATCCTTGGTGGAGTGTCAACCTCCCCACCACCCATGTTTTCTGTATTAAAATGACCACTCCAGCTGCTTTTTCCTAACTGGAAAAACACCATACAATTCTATGTATTAAAAGTGTATGCTTTACTCTGCAGATCAAATAGCAGGTGGAATGGGGTAATTGTAGTCAAGAACAGCTTGGAGGAGAGATTGACCTCATTAGTTCAATCAGTTCAGGCAGTTGTCATTTTTAAAAACAGGCGGAGAGCGTTGTCATAGACTTTCTTTGTCTTATCAGCAAAATTCTTAAGATTTCCCAAATTATGGTTTTTAAAATCAATATAGGTATATTAGAACTGCATACTCGGTTTAAATTCAAAACGATCAGTTCACTTGCAACCCTCTGTTTGTTTGAACTTGGGAGTCCAAAAATGGAGCCACCTGCTGTCAGATGGTGGCCGGCATGAAAAAAAGGAAAAGAAAGCTCAGTGGGAAGGGTTTGGAAAGCAAAGCTGAGCGATGCTGAAGGGAGAAATCTGAGATGAGCCGGCAGGCAGGGAAGGAGTGACTCCTTTTACTTTTTACCTTTGTAACTTCACCCACCCACCCCGAAATTGAGGTGGTGTATATGGCTTGTCTCCTTCCCATTTTGTCCTCACAATGAGTCTGTGAAGGAGGTTAGATAGTGAGTGACAGAACGAAGATCAACAGATGGGTTATGTGGCCCTCTGGATACCAAAGCGTAGCTCTCCGAAGGTCTAGTCCAACACCCAAACTGCTGCTGAGGGGGATAGGGTGGTGAATTTGCCAGGATGAATGGGAGGCTGGAGGAAACACTGTCCAGTCTCTGTCCATAATTCTAGGCATCCAGGTGGGGAATCTCTGATTCAGCAGAGAAGGAAATTTGCATATGATTAGAGGCAGAAATGTGTGGTGCGGGGAAATCCATTTTGGGATGGTAGTTCATCACTGAAGCTAGTATGCCATTTGAGTAAGGTATTCTGAGAGTTGTAGTCTAGGGGGGAAAAGAGTAACTTTCCCCATATCTGATCAGATAACATTTCTGGATCAAAGAGGAAGGAAAATTAACTGTTCCAAATTGAGGATTGGTTCACATTCACCTTGTAGGATGATGGACACTTGGAAGTGGAAGAAAAAGATGGCAGTATTACAAGGCTTGAATATATGGTAGAACACTGTGGCATACACGGGGGGAGGGATTATGGCAGAGGCAGAACAAGCATCTGCTTTTAACACTGTCCTAGTTTAAAAGCTGGTTTTAAAAATGGGAAGAGAGACTCTTTTTTTGGACTGCAACTTTCAACCCCTCCCATCCCAGATTAGCTTTGAAAGCAAGATTCAGCTCTAGAATCTATTTTGAAGTCAGCCCCCAGAATGTACGAAATAAGCAGCCAAGGGTACCTCTGAGCATGTGAAAACAAGATATGTAAAAGCTGTCCTCCACCACTGTCCATTGGGCACTGGAAAAAGAGCTTGCCGGAATATGATTTGAGTGTGCATATCTATAAATGTTACCAATGAGCAATGCAGAATGCAATCAGTTTTCACCTTTAATTTTGCCATTAATGCACACAGAGTTCTATACTGTAGATCGATTCTCGCTTCGAAGGGGAGATTATGCCATCAGGCCAGGGCTTCAGGCCAAACTCTAAGGGTCCATGTAGTCTTGCTGCAGTTAAGAATAAGTTCCCCTAAAGCATCATACCCTCTTGAACAGAAGTGAAAACATATTCATTATCCTTTGCAATATACAAGGAGGTAGAACTACCTACTGTAAATGCAGCACTGAAGAGAAGTTGCACCATGTACGTTTTTTGGCAAAGACGTCCTAGGCATGAGAGAAAGGCAAGGAAGGCAGAAGGCGTGGTTTCCCAGCTTGTTAAACCCTAGCCCTTTGTGCATTTTATTTTTTAATGAGTTAAGCATGGTCTGCATCTTCGCAGCCTGTCTCTCCAGGAAGTCTCCCAACTATGGGCAGCCAAGTTCAATCCAATCCACTCCTTTCAGTGCTGAGTCTAGCAGTTAATGGTGCTCTCCTGCCCACAATATGAGCAAAGGCAGGGGGTGCAAAGAAGGGACCTCCTGTAGCCAAGGGAGTGAAAGGGCTGTCTTCTCAGGGCTGTATCTGTCCTCAGGCAGAGTGAGGCAGCTACGTCTGGTAAGAGAAGCAGGAGAGTAAACTCGGAATGGTAGGAAGTTATTGAAGCACTGAGCCACGTGTGAGAAGGGCCCTTTATTGTCATAGCTTACTTGACCTCAGGTGGCAGTGAAGGGTAGGAGCCCATCTCCAGTGCTGAGCTAGAATTCATCTCTGAATCCAATCTTCGTTGTGATGCAATTTCGTCGTCAAACGGAGCGCTCGTAATGCGAGGCACCACTGTACTGGCAAATTTCCTGAAACATGGCTATCTTCTGTTATAATTCCCATTTATAAAAAAGGTGACACTTCCCAACCCAATAATTATAGGCCGATAAGTCTTCTTGCCAACATTGGTAAACTCTATTCCAAATTTCTTCTCACCAAACTCCTATCTTGGGGGCAATCTCAAAATCTCCCTGGAATGGAACAAATTGGCTTCTGTGCTGGTGCGTCCACTACCGATCATGTTTTCCTATTATCCTTTCTAGCTAAAAAATATTCCAGTTATCACCAATCTAATCTCTATGTTGCCTTTGTCGACCTTAAGGGCACCTTTGATTCCATTAACAGAAGTCTACTATGGGAAAAGCTATCCAAGTAGGGAAT